TGCAAATAACAGTTAACCTCCTGTAAGAGTGAGAGCCTGCATAACCACAGACGCTGGAGCCAATTGATTTGTATGTGGGTTCTCCCTGTGCTTTGTTTATTCTTTTTGGTTTACTTCCTAATATTTGACCACCTCACTTTTGTTAGCAAGTCTCACAAGGCAGAAACCTAGAGAAACACGGGAAATTGAACTGTGTTAAAATTACCCCTTGATAGCTTTCTAGGGGAATATACTGGGGTCTTAGTTGGATCGGTAAGAAACAAAACAAAACAAAAACTGCATAGGATTAAATAATATTAAATGCTGTGAGACAGCAAACAAAACTCAAACAAGTAAATAGATGAAAGAGTGTTATGGGATGAAAGGGATACTGATAAGGAATGGGAGAGAACTGGGAAAGAGAAGTGAGAGAGACCAATATGTGTACTGGTGCATGTATGAAAAGAGTGAAAGAACAAAGTTTAATAATAAAACAACCTCTAGAAAATAACAGCAACAATAAAAACAGCAAAAATGTTAGTAAAATAGACTGTGCAGACCCTTTTGAAAATAAGTTATTTATATGATCAGATTCAATTGAGATAAGGTCTGAATTTGTCAAAAAATATTGTGAATGGATAGAATTTAAAAATTTTGGGGTATGTTTGAATATACAAAAAAAAAAAGGAAAAAAAACATAAAAGAGAGGGAAAAGGTAAAGGAATGTGATTCTCATATAGCGTCATGTGGAAGTGGCTATTTAGTGTGCATGTTTGTGTGTGTGTGCGCATGCGCAAGCTTAGATGCCAGAGGTCAACAGCAATGCTCCTTCTCAATCATCTCATTGTATTGTTTGTTTGTTTGTTTTGTTTTTGAGGAAGGATCTCTCACAGAACCTGGAGTTCAAAGAGTGACTATGCTCACTGGTCAATGAGTTCATGTCCCTTTCTCTGTCTTGCTAGTAATGGGTTTTAGTATCATCATGCCTGACTTTATGGGAGCTTGGAGTCTGAATTTAGATACTGTGTTTGCATTGCTTTACTGACTGAGTCATCTTCAATGAATAAATGGAGCAATTTAACATAGCAGACTCTGTTCTAATAAACCCCACTGGCAAGAACAATGGTCATATGTGCTCCTGCCTTTACTATCAATAGAAATTGAATAAAAAATAGCAAGTTTTTAAAGGTTTCTAAGGTTATTGTAGTAAAATTTTCTCCTATTGTTGTAATTATGAACTAGATAAATTATGACAATCTTTACTCTCCACATTCAAACTCCAGCTTCTGTGTCACTTATGTGTCCAAAGGTTCTGAAGCAGCAGCTCATTTTAACCATTCATTTTTCTTTTCAATTTTTAAATGGAAAGAACTCTGAAACTGTCTAGAAAGCAATTAACATATGGCTAAAACTATCATGGGAAATATAAAAAGATAGATTAAAATGTGCAACCAGGACCTGTTTTAAAACAAAAGGCAGCCCTTTGATGTTTTTTTTTAATGTGTTCTCTAACTTCAAATGCAGAGAAGAGTATTACAAAAGATATTTTAAAAATATAACGTGGCATCTCCTGGAGGGAGAAGTTTTTCTTCCTTTTGTACAGATCAAAGAAAAGAAAATGTGTTGTTCTTTGCAAAGTCATTTGAATGTAAGCTCCCTGAGAAGAGAATTCTTTGCCTCATTTATTACTAACTCACTTGATTACTACATGTTTATAATTGGCAATTAAGAAATAGTTCTGAGTGAATACAGTATGCCCAGACTATAGTGGGTTTAGCACAGGAACAGAATCCATTTTCCTCTGTAAGCGACTGCAGACATTTAAAAGAAAAGAGATAAATAATGACAAACCAAAAATTATCATCTGCACGAAGAACAATGCAACTATTAAACAAGTTTCTGAACCACTGTTTAAGACCCTCTAGAACACTGCATAAGAACTCGTAATCCATGCATAGCATAGTATAGCTTCAATGCATGCATAAATAGTCATAAAAGTGCCAATGATTTCTTAAAACAGGGTAATGTTCTCTTCTCTTTCTCTCTCCCTGATTGTCTTCTTTTCCTATTTTCTGTAGGGTTTTTGTTTGTTTGTTTGTTTGTTTGTTTGTTTGTTTGTTTTGTGGCAGAGTACATTTAGAGCAGGCTAGACTCCAACCTACTGTGCAACTACAAATGGCTTAGACATCTATACTGTCTTGCTCTTCTCTGCCTCCCAAGGACTGGAATGCCAGGAGTTTGTCACACTGTGCAGCTTGATAATTTTCTTGAATTGGCTGACGTAAACCTTTCAATGTAGGGAATCAATACAAAATTCAACGTTTAGAGAAATTTTCCACTACTTCATTCAATAGCCAAATGTAAATGTTAGTTTTTATTCTTATAAAATACTAGTTGTACAGAATATTACACTTAAATTATTAGTTATTCAAACTTAGGGTAATAAACAACTAAAAAACGAGCAGGCCTTCTCTAATTATAAGAAGATATGTTAAGTTCCCAAACAAGAGGATATTTAAATGGGGCTTAATTAGAGCTGCATAAAAGCACAATTAATAGTGGACTCTGTACCACAGTCCGTAGGCATCAGTAGACATTGTCCCAATCTAATTATAAATTAGCTCAAAGGTTGCCAAAGTAAACAGCCCAGCCTACACAACTCTCTGCCAACTCTCTTACAAAGCATGTAGAACCAACAAACTAAGGAATAAAGAAAAATAAATTACTACTGAGCTTCTTTATTTCTCGATGAAGTTCTATGAGCAGAAAGGTCATTTTCTTGCTTGCTATCGTACCCTTTGGTGCCCTTATATTATTCTTTTCTTAATCACACTTAATTTTATGCATTATACTCTATTTATGCATTCTTCAACAGCATCTTTATTTATGACTTTGTGAATCAACAGCTTTGTGATAGGAGGCTAAAGTCACTTAGCTAATTACACATGCTTGATAAGCCGCATAATAATAACCACTGCAGCACTGTACACTAGTTGAAGGCATGTAAATCACTGCTTGCTCTTCTCATTTGAAAATTAAAAAAATAAGACTTTTCTTTAGTTGTTTAAAGGCACAATGTCTCCTTCATATATCTTCTTAAACATACTATGCATTTGACCCAAATTTAAGTTTCAGGGTTTTTTTATAATTTTTTATTTAACTACACTTTATTCATTTTGTATCCCCCTATAAGCCCACCCTCCTCCCCTCCCGGTCCCACCCTCCCTCCCCTTTCTGCATGCATGCCCCTCCCCAAGTCCACTGATAGGGGAGGTCCTCCTCTCCTTCTTTCTGATCTTAGTCTATCAGTTCTCATCAGAAGTGGCTGCATTGTCAGGGTTCTAGGTTAAGTTTTTAAAAATCAAGGCTGAACTCTACTTTATCAACAAATAAGAGAAATAATAATAGTCAACTTAATGCAAATATTTCTGATGAAAAGTTAATAATATTATTACCTTTTCTGATGGAAAGTTAATAATATTAATTCCCATATTTATCAAGAGTGCGAACAATGTTCCGCATATAATGCAATCTCATAAAACACAGCCATTTGGACACCCCTTTCCCCATAAAGATGTCATAACGAAGTCTGACCCATTCCAGCCAGATTAGAAATGCATAGGGAGATGGAATACCCAGCACTGGAATGTCAATATGACTTCCGCAGGAAGATTGAAATTTCTACCAAGTTATGAATAAGGTCAAAATAACACTTAGGAGATTTACTGCCATAGAAGATCATACCCTCCTATGAGTGATTTACTGAATGTGATATAAAGCGGAGTGTGGGTATGCCGCATTCAGATGCGAGCTTGCAGCTGTCAGTGTCTACATTTGCTCAATCCGGCTAGAGGATGATTTGAAGGTTGATTTAATTGTAGCTTCTGAATCACGTTCTTCCCCATGTTTTAAATTGTTTAACATAAATATATAAATGTTGGAGACATTTTAAGACTGTAAATATTTCACATAAAGAATAAAATATTTCATTTCCTTCTAAAAGAGAAACTGAAAATAAAAATGACTCTGGCGAAAAAAAAAAAATCACATTGCCTAATAATAGTAACTGCCCATTACCTGTAGCCGGGTTTAACCTTAGGATCAGAATGTCCATAAGGTGTTCAGGCAAATCTAAGAATACACCAACATAAAGTGAAGGCTTTGATTGGACTGATTCCTCTGAGGAGAGACACACACCTGCACATGTTCAGGAAGAGTTCAGAGACCAAAACTAACCAGCTGTTAAGGCAGCACTGTTTAGGTTCCTTAGGCAACATATACGTAAGGTAGCTTTTTCTCTATAAGCAAAGTCTAGGAAGAAATTACATTCTTTTGGGTCCTGCTTTTAGGCGAAGACAGGTGTCAGCAGTGAGTTTCCCCAGTACTGTTTGCTCTGCCTTGTGCTACCTTGACCCATCACCTAACACTCACTCCCAAGCACCAGCAAGTCATCCTTTGGGAGAGTATCTTATTCTTCCTCTGTAAAGTTTTACATCGTGTCCATTTTCACTTTTATACATACCTCCTTTTCTACATATTTTCTTGCCGGGTTTTCTGGCACATTCCTTGGATATTCTTTTTACTGAAAAATGAATAGAAGACTAGAAAATAACATGGCGCTCCATCACAGACCGCCGGAACATGCAACACCACTATCTAACTTAGTACACTCCTGTTTTTACTGAGTGCGAAAGAGCCCCAATTCGTTGAGCCTGCACATGCAATGAGGGAACGTTGATGCATCTTCTCAGAAGTCATTTGGTAGGAAATGGAAATTAGGAGACCATTTCTACCTAAGTATACGTGCTGTGGAGGAAAGAAAATGAGTAGGCACGGTGAAAAAATAAGAACAGATACACTGACACACAAAAATAAAAAGAGCAGCATGCAAGCATGTAAAATATGTCTACATGCCCACAGGAAAAGCCATGCATACTACCAGTACACATAAATTAATATTGTTAGAACTCAGAACAAGAAATAAATAAACATATCTCCCTGTGTTCCTGCAAGGCACTCACCATCTTCAGTTGGGACATAGATGTTTAAGTATAGGCAGTCTTCACTCTGGTCTTGTACATATGATGAAACCACATCCAAGTTATTAGTGAACCACACAGGAAGCATCACTTCAGGCAATCTGCCATCAATGATATTCTGGGGACATACAGGAGCAAACTGAGTGGCATTCCGGATATCCGACCAGGGAGATGGCGGTTCTGGAGGCTGAAATCGATGTTCACCTGTTGGTGGAGCAGCATATGGAACCCCAAGAAACTGAATGACAGGCCCCAAAATTTCATTATTGAGTTCTTTCTTAATTCCTCTTATCTTGCCAAAGTTAGTAGTAACCAATGGGTCAACATCATCCAGTTTTTGAGAGAGCACATGGACAGTCTGTAGCAAACATCCCAGCAAACAGAGAGTCAATGGGGCACCCAATCCCCTGTGTACCACACAGGCCATCGTGGCTCTCCAAACATAATTTGGCCACATGCATCTGGGAAGCGCCATGGTCCCACATTAGTTGTTTAGTTGTCTGGTACAGTGAGGCAAATATCTGTGTATCCACTTGAGAAAGATGGAAGATGGTAGAATGTGCCCCCAATCTCTCAAATTTGAGCTTGTTAAGGAGAGATCAGAACACTCTTCATGCAGCAAGTAGCTCCCATTGATTTCCCACGGACTGATGCAACATCTTCAGTCACCCCTATTCATCAGACCGTCTCCTATTGACCCTTCTGTTTTCCATAGTAGCAATGTGCCGAGAGTGGCCATTGATGTAGATTTTCCTTGTATAAATCAAATCCAGTTAGCTGTGGGTCTATATCCTAGAGGGAGAAAAATGAAAATAGAACATTAGTAAAAACAAGTCAACAGACAAAGTGAAAACCAGATGTTTAACAAGGTATAGAAATACATCAAGAGTGGATAGAATGAGGTAAGTTGAATGCTACCAACAGAAAATTATGGCCTGATGTAAAACTACAAATGAAATACGTGATTATTACGTTATTGAGCAACTTGCCTGTTGCCTTTGCATGTACTGACTTAGAAGCAAGCTTTGTCAAATACAGTTTTGGAGTATTGCATGCTACAGTTGTATTTTTTCCCCAACACTCCGGTTATATGTGACAATTTCTTCTTTACTGATGAGTTAATAATTTCAAGTAACAGAAAACTGATCAACAAACATCCTCAGAATTAGAATCCCATAAGCAGAAAACCTTTTTAGAAAAGCTTTAGTGGAGTGTCTACTTGTTAAAGTGATTGTATGTAACTTTAAAATGAATAAAAGGAATTTACCAAAACTCATATTTACAATGAATGGAAACAAACATATTTAAATCCCACTTCCTCATGAGTTCAGGTTCTGTGCCATTTCTCAACAGTTCGCAGGGTCTGTCATTTACAGAAACTTACTTTAAACCTGAGGTCAGGGATTTAACAGGAAAAGTGCTATGAGACAGCTCAAGCAAAAGAGAAAGAAATGGGCACTTTTTTTTCATACCAAAGATATTTTCCCATCTAACTATATGTTCCAACACCCAATAAATTTGCAATTTGTAAATGAAATTCTGAGTCAAAGTCAATGTTTTAAATTACAAATTTTGTTCTCACTGTGTGTGAGAGATCAAAGGAGGAATACCAGAAGAAGAAGGAAAAAAAGCATGGCGATTTAAACGAACAATCATAGCTAATCGTGGCATCTTTCGTATTAACACTCATCAAACATTTCATGCTGTTTACTCAGTGCAATTGAAAATGCATCCGAACAAGCCGTGATCAGCGCAACGCAATTCGCAGGGTCATCTTGCACCGTCAGAGAGCATGCAGCTTAGCAAACTGTCTTTTCTTGTTCAAGCCACCTTTTAAAGTGCTTACTTTGGAAATAGTAGTGTTGGTTGGTACTAGAGATGGTTCTACCTGTCATATTATGGGAAGATTCCTGAAGAAGCTCTGGTCCAGCAGTGAGACTTGCCCGACTTTGAGCTATTTTAAAGGAAACTGTAAAACTATATAGGCCAATAGGAGCTTTGGTTCTGGAGCTGATGCTCTTTTAGCTCTGAACAATATATCACTGGAGGAAATAAGAAGATAAATGTCTTTCTTCAAGAGTATTCCAGTCTGTGTTAATTCTCATACTTTGACTGTGAAAGTACATTAACGTACAAAAGGTAAGCTTAGTCCCTTCTGCTACATGTCCCAGAATTCCTGCACTGACAAAAGATTTAGCTACATAAGCTCATGTCTGTAAAGAGTGTATTATGTCCATGGATTCGCTGAATTATGGGAGGCCACAGTGGGGCTGAGTCCTATTTGCCTTTTGGTGTTAAAAGGTACCATTTTGACACCTAAGGTAAAAACCCTGTGGGAGGCCAGGAAAGGCTTAGCCAACCATTTTATTCCGTGTCTCCTTTCCAATTGCAGTGATCTCTAGACATTCTCCTTCATACAATTGGCATCCCATTAATAGTCCAAGACACTTGTTTAGTTATTAACAAAATAACACTCCCCTTTGGACTTACAAGTCTTTTACTTCCTTAATTGTGTTAAGATAAAACAGACTCCTACTTTCCACTAATAGGCTGTTTTGATAGAATATTGGGAGGATCAGAATTCTGCACGACATAGCAAATTTTGTAATTTTCCTGAGTTTTGTCCTTGTTACCAAAATATTCCTTGTTGCACGTGTGTAATAATAGAGAACCATAGTATTGATCCAAAAGTATTTTCTAGACTTCACTATTATAATAATCTTTTAGGTCAGGCAATGAAAAAAAAAACAGTTTGTATTAGTGAGATCTTTGAAAGTAATATACTCTTAAAAGATAAACATCTTGACAGTTTTTCCATTTATTAATATTTCTGAAGTGGATGTCAAGCTTCTGTTTAGTGCATTTACATCTTATTTAGTACAATCCTATGAAAATAGGTTCCACTCACAGGCAATCGGGGTTCCCAGGGTTAAATATGTTGGCCAGTGACTCTCCTCATCAAAAGCAGAGCCAGGGCCCAAGGTAATTTGATTTAAAGGCCATCCTTCTGACCATTTCTACTGTATCATTTTCAACTTCTAGTTGCTTATGAAGACCCTTATCAGGCTAGATAGACGGCATGTAAAGTACATGCCCTGCAAATATTAAGACCCAAGTCTGGAGACCTGGTGCTCTCCCCTCTTGCACAGTGGCATACACCGTGACTCCAGAGATGGAGAAGCAGAGACAAAAGTCCCTGGAGCTCATTGGCTCTCAGGGTCAGTGAGAGACTCTGCATCAAAAATAAAGTGAAGAGTAAAGGAGGAAGGCACCCAACATCAACTTCTATCCTCCATAGGAGCGTATATGCAGGTACTTTGCATCCTCCTTAAAATGTGCACACATGTGAGTGTGCACAAATACACACACACACACAAACGTGTATATATGTATGCACGCACAAAGAAATAAAACTCCATATGATCCTATAGTATTTGAAATTGAATTACAAAGGTGTTTGATAGTGTATTTTCTTGAATATAGGGGTCTAGTAAATACACTAACAACTTTATAGAAACAAATCTTTATTGGTTTAACTTCTTTTTTTTTTGAAAAGGTATAGTTTATTTTGTGTGGCATTCTATTTTTAATCAATTTTGCTTTACATTAAACATGGTGTTACACTTTACCATACTCAATTGTGGTGACCATTTTTTATGAAAACATTCTTACCTTCTAAGAGACTGTTACTGTCTATGTGCCTCACAGCCAAGTTAGTAAAGCACCTTGAGGGAGGTGGATCCTGATATCATGCTGTGTACTCAGTCTGTTCAACCTGCCTCTAAGATATGCAATAAACATCCTTCCTTTCCATAGATTTCCTGTGTAATCAACTTCTACAACCAAGGCTAAAGCATAGTTTTGACCTTGAGTCATACATTTTTCTACGCACCTGATCCAAGGAGCAATGTGTGTGTGTACATACGCATATCTGTTATAGTAATCATTTGGTGAGGATAACGAGCAGGTTGAAAAAGGTCTTATGCAACATATATCTGCCACAAAAGTTTGAAATGATATAAGATATTGTCTAAAATTAGTCAATTTGCAGTAAATACCTTGTAAACTGTTAAATTTTCCTATAAAGTATCTCTTATTTGTTTCCCCTGTGATTTCTATTGTACTGCTCAATAATTCTAAAGCAAAGATCTTTGTTAGAGACAAGACAACCACAGGTAATAAAAACATTTCAGATACATACCACAAATAGGCTACAGACGAGCCAGAAACCACAAAACTACAGACCGATGGAAGACATAATGAAAGAAGTGGAAAAAATCAAAGTGCTGGCTTTTGGAGAAATTAATACAAAAGGAAGTCTTGGATTTTCTTTCCTCAGTGTAATACCAATACAATTTGGTGGCTCTGAGGTTGTCTTTAATGTGCTTTACTGACACACACAATCATGTAAAAATGGTTTCTCCTTGTAGTAGAATTGTGGGAGGCATCCTCCACAGGCTCTTGTTTTTGAATACTTGATTCCCAGTTGGTGGCACTGCCTGGGGGATAGTATGAAGATGTGGACTTCTTGGAGGAAGAACTTAACTGAGGGTGGGCACGGGAGCTTACCGCTTCACACCACTTCTAGCTCAAGCTCTCTGTCTTATTGCTACTCTTGAAGATGTGGTATCTCAGCTTAATGCTTGATCTGCCTGTTGCTGAGTATCCCTTGCCATTATAGATTCACCTTGAAAACTGTGAGCCTTAAATAAACTGTTCTTTTATTACCTGCCTCTGCTCTTAACATTTTGTCACAACAACATACATAACTAATGCGCTTATCCACAACAGTAAGAAACCATTCAAATAATAAAAGGCCAAATGTCCACAAAGGGATACATAGATGAATCATAAGATAATCAGGAATTGAAATTCTACATAACCATGAAAATAAGAGGTCAAAATTGTCATTGTAGACAGATTTCACAGTTTTTAAATTAAATTTCAAATGAATAGGAAAAGTAAACAGTTATTCAAAAAAATTAAAAATGAAAAACAACACCATTTATTATTAAAAATGTCTAAATACATAGTAACAGGTGAGCTGTCAACACTGAATAATAGGGGAAAAGAATGGAATTAATTCAAGGAATTAATTAGCTGAAACCTAAGATGGATAGCCTGTGGTGAGGCTTTAAAAGGCCAACAATTAATTATAGTAAACTTGACAAATTCTTAGTATCTAAGAGTGTTGGCTAATCCTCACATACATGGAAAAGTTTATTATAAATTCTCTATAGTTTTTTTTTTGTTTTGTTTTTTGAACAGTTTTGAATAAGTAGAGTAAAATAATTGAATAAAAATATGTAGGAGACTATGATCAGTGTACAATACACACTTGTATGAAAATGTTCTGATGCAACAAATTATCAAATACAGTACATGTAGACAATGAGCATTTAAAATCAAAATACAACTCTTGTACCAGACAAGTATCATATTACAAGTAGAAGAGTCTATCACTCCAAGAGAGACTAAGTTTCTGCAATTTACTGCTAGGAAGTCCTTGCTCATAAAATTTTCTGTTATTTCTTCCCCTAATTGAAGCATATGTGGTCTCAATAAGACAATATGAAAATAATAAATACTATTCAATAAAGCATTCTAAATGGTAATATAGTATATAACTTTCATTTGTTCAATAAAAAGTTGGTTCCTTCACCAAATTATTTCTTGGTAACCCAAATTAAAAACGAACTAGAATTATTTAAGACCTTAGAGAATAACAATATCGATACAATATTTCATCCACTCAACAAATATTTATTAAGAACTTATAATGAACTGGGGTC